GTGTGTGTGTGTGTGTGTGTGTGTGTGTGTGTGTGTGTTGTTTCATAATCAACACATGGGGCAAGCAGAATGCCGAAGGTGATCATTTTTAATCAAATTATAGATCAGGTCTAGACAACCTCAAAACTCCCTCCAATCCCAAAGAACTACAGAGTTTTCTGGGTGTGTGTAACTACTCACGCCAGTTTATAGAAAACTACGCAGATCTGGCAAAACCACTGACTGAACTGCTAAAAAAGGACGTTCCATTTGTCTGGACTGACAGACAGCAGCAGGCAATGGACACCCTCAAAGACAGCCTAAAACCCGCCCCATGTCTGACCTACCCAGACTACAACAAAGACTTCCATTTGGAAGTGGGCTTCTCAGCTCACTGTCTAAGTGCAGGTTTGTACCAAATACACGACAAAGACAAACGTGTGATGGCCTATGCCAGTAAAACAATGGCAGGCCCTGAGCTAAAATACTCAGACTGTGAGAAGGCCCYACTGACCACTGTGTGGGCAGTAAAACACTTCTCTAACTACATAGGCAGACAAAAAAATCATTGTGGAAACACATCAGCCAGTGACTTTCCTAAACAGCCAATGCATCAGAGATGGTGTAGTGACAAACTCACGTGTTGCCACGTGGCTCATGGCACTACAAAGTTTTGACCAAGAAATCCGCTATGGACAAAACAAAAAAATCACATCTGGGAACCGACTTGGCAATCTGCCAAAGCTGTACACAAGACGTACCAGCAACACAGATGCCAGTTGACAAAAAACCCCAAGTAAGTGARGGTCCAAGCATCACTACTTTGATGCTAACATCTGTAAAGACATGACTACAGTGTACGTGGATGGATGCTCATTCCACCACGACAAAATCTGCAAAGCTGGTGTTGGGTTGATCCTACTCCAAGACCAACAACAAGAAACTTTTAGTTTCAAATTAGGCTGTCAGTCCTCTCAGTACGCTGAGATCACTGGTATCCTAGTAACCCTCCAGATCGCGGTTGAATGCTCGATCCAGACCCTAGTCATCTGCACTGACTCAAACTATGCCCRTCTAAGCTTCTCATGTCATCTTGCTCAGTGGAAACTAAATGGTTTCCTCACCAGCAACAAGAAGACAGTTAAGCACAAAGAGCTTTTCATGGCATGTGATCACTTGGTGACCTCACATGACCTACAGATTTACTGGAAGAAAGTTCCAGGATACTCACGAGTCCCAGGTGATGACGAGCACTACAATGACTTTGCAGACTCACTAGCCAAGAGTGGAGCCGTAGATGGCACCCCATGGTCCTTTGACCCCTCCTGGCTAGTCAAAGCTCAAACAACTCGGCCCACGGTCGAGCTGTCAGCTATTACACGTGCACAAGCTGCAGCTAAACCAGCTGAAAACACAGTCTCTGTACGACCTATGCTGACTGACCCCAACATCATACAGCTACAGGAGCTAGATCCTGCTATCAACTCCATAGTACTGTTCTTGGCTGACCCAGACAAAAATACCCCATCAAAAGAAGCACTGGACTCCGATCCAGACTTAAAATCGCTCTATCAGTCACRCAAACAGTTGAAACTAATCAAAGGCATCCTAACTTATACTCACGAGAAGACATCTTCCTGTGTTCATGGTTCCTCATGACCACAGGGGGGTGATGTTAGTTCATGCCCATGACCTTCCGTCCGCAGGACATAAGGGGAATAAGGCCACACTCAAGGCATTGAAACAGATCGCCGACTGGCCCGGGATGAAAAAGGATGTAAAAGATTATGTTGAAGGGTGCCTGGTGTGCGGCCAGTTCCAACCGAGCAGACCACTTCACAGGGCACCACTGCAGAACAGAGGGATTATATTCCTGTGATCGACTGGGTTGGACCTATCACTAAATCTGCTAGAGGAAATAAAAATTTTCTCACTGTGACTTGGACAAAATGGGTCGAATGTCTACCAGCTCCAAACGACACAGCACAAACCACCACTACGTTGTTAATGAACCATGTGTTCTCAAGGTTTGGACTGCCCATTAGGGTAAATTCAGATTGAAGGACACACTTTACAGCTGAAGTGATGCAAGAACTGTGGAAGACGCTAGGCGTTAAAGCCAACTTCCATATTGGCTACCACCCACAGGCATCAGGCCAAGTAGAGAGAGCAAACAGAACTGTGGTAAGTATTTTAAAGAAGTACGTAGCCACAAACCACAAGGACTGGGATGTGAAACTCCCCCTGGTTCTCATGGCCATCAGGGCCACTCCACACAAATTCACAGACATCTCTCCCTTCGAGATGATGACTGGGCGACAGATGACGCTCCCCATACATCTGGGGGAGGCTGTGGCGGAGTGGTTGGGGAGTCGTTCTGGAACTGGAAGGTCGCTGGTTCGATCCCCCGTCCAGCCGTCTCAGTCGTTGTGTCCTTGGGCAAGACACTTCACCCACCTTGCCTACTGATGGTGGTCAGAGGGTCCGGTGGCACCGTTGCATGGCAGCCTCGCTTCTGTCAGTGTGCCCCAGGGCAGCTGTGGCTACAGTGTAGTTTGCCATCATCAGTGTGTGAATGTGAGTGTGAATGGGTGAATGTCTGTTAGTGTAAAGTGCTTTGGGGGTCCGGAGGGACTTGAAAAGCGCTCTATAAGTTCAGTACCATTTACCATTTACCATTTACCATCTTTGTTCCAGCTAAATGTTAGTATTTCTTTGGGATTATGTGTGATAAAGCTCCAAACCTGCAGCTCTGCAGGTTTAGCTGTGAAATAAAAGTTCTTTGTTTTTGAACAGTGTGTTAAACTGTAATTGGAATTACCTCTCACAGCATTCCTCTCTCCATTTGTCTTTTCTCCCTCCCGTCTTTACAGTTACAAACCACCTTGTGTGAAATGGTTTAATTTTCTCTTAATAGCAGAATAATTATTTAAAAATGACTCATTAAGATGAATCTTTTTGCCACTGCTGTGCTGAGCGCCTGTGGGCACGATTATGTGGCTGAGTTTGTGCTCGAGATAATTAACATTTTTATCATCTGCCCACCCAGGTGTGAGGCAGAGACGGTGAGACAAATGAACTGCTGGAGATGAAAACTGTCTTCAAAAAGGACGGATTTCTCTTTTGAAGTCGGCTTAATTTATTTGAGAACTTTCTTCTCCCACCAACTGAAATGGTTAAGTTTCTGCAGCATTTTGTCTCCTAAAGTGTGCGTGTCCCTGCTCTGTCCACCCCTCAGGTGGGATGTGTAACCTGCCCACCATCCCCTCAGCGTCTGACTTCAACACGGTGCTGTCCAGTGATCAGAACACCCTGGATGGGACCCACTCTCAGCACAGCACGAGTCAGGATGACATTGTTGACATCGAGGAGGGAAACCAGTGTCCAGCGGCCGTTCAGCTGGCTGATGCTCAGGTGAGTCCAACACCCACTTCTGTTAGAGGACTTATGCAAAATCCACTTTTTAACCTGTTAAATGCATTTTGTTGTGTACTTATGCTGGGTTCACACCGAACATGTTTTGAACAGCTGGTTTACATGCAAAGTCTTTGGTTGATGCGTGTCTAGGGGTCTTACGGCACGTCTAGCCTGTTTAGCGCGGCATGCAATGAAGGGGTAGGTGTGGTTTGAGCGTTGACGTGCATGTGGCACGTACAAAGCAGCCGACGCTCGAGTTAAAAAATCTTAACTTTTGCGACTCGACGTGCAGCGTCAACCAATCAGAGAGACTCATTTTTCCACATGACTGTTTCCTGAGTGTTGCCCACTAACCTGAAACAGACGGACAGGAGTTCTTTAGCCGAAATGGACCGTCTGTAGTTGGTGTTCTGGCTGGAGCTATCAGCACTGATGCGGGTCAGCAGCTCGTTAAACTGGGGTCGGGACAAAAATAGTTCGGCAGCTCGCAGATCCTGTGGTGAAACTCACCGAACAGACCACCTCTGAATCATCTGGTGAATTGATTATCTGCTGTGTTCAACGTTCACTTGCTCTCAGTAAATAAAGCAAAGCCATTTCCTTTATTTCATCTTTATTTTATCCCCCATAAAGACCGACCGGGAAAAAAAAGCAAGAAGCTCCTCCCATTTAGATGCGCGTCTAGTCTGTGTCCCGGTCTGAACGTAACGCGTCCAACATGAGGCATCAGGCGCGTTTTTGCTGCTCAAAACGCATTTGGTGTGAAAGTAGCATTAGTCTCTAGGAGGCAGAAATGTTGAATTTAGTCTCTCGTGGTGCTGCAGAGATATCTTTATATTCTGTTTGGATCATACTTTTCAGCCTGTTCAGTTTAGCTATGACATTTTCTGAATCTGTTACGTCAAATTATCTGCAATGAAATTGTCAAATAAGTTCTGGACTTAACAACTAAAATTACCAACTACATAACCTTGTCCTAATTCTCCTCTGGTTCTGGGTCAGACTCTGGCTGGATGGACAAGTCTTCTGTTGATCACATCTTTTAGTTTAAGTTGTTAAGAAAACATTTCTGCACTGCTAGAAAATGTTACCCCCTCCCCCTCTCAATCTGGAGTGGACCGGTCTGGAAGCCGGAGGGGGGCGGGGCTTGAAGCATCTTAATGGCACAGTAACAAAACCAGCTGCTTTGAGACACGCAGCAGAAAAGGGGTGAAAGAGAGGCTGGTAAAGTTTAAATAAGGAGGAATTCAGACCAAAGCTTTGTACTTCCATTTTATAAAGACCCCGACTGAAATATTTAAATGTGAAAAGGAAGGCTTTAAAAGCATGATATGTCAACTGTTTTTTACATTTAATTTTCATCAGTAATGAAATATTTACAGCTTGATGAGCAGTTTGAGCATCAGTTTGAAGATTTTTTTGTTTTTGTTTTTTATGTCAACCTAAATGTAAACTAGTCTCATCCTTGCTTTTAAATCTGTAGTGATGGCAAATGAGCAAATTGTTGTTTTTTTAAAATTGTACTACATTTATGTTTCATACCAAGTTTAAGTTACTATTTTTCCCCTTCTCTACCCTTTTATCTAATCATTAAAAGTTCAGTTCGCAAAAGCTCCTGAACCAACCTCTGCTTTATCAAGTGTCCTGTTTTCATGTCTTCAGGTTGTTTTTAAGCCCYTACTGAGCTACACAGGAATCCAGGCCCAGGACACCACTCCACTTAGCTACAAGATGTATTTCGGAGAGCATTTGTCTTTTTCTGGCAATCTGGAGTGTCTCAGAGCAGACATCGTTGACTCCGATACATCCAAAGAGCGCAAAAACAAGCGGTCCAGAAGGTAGGACCACCCTGAAACATAACAATCTTATATATCTAGGTTATAATCTTTGTTCGTCTTTGTTCACACAGACAAGGCATGGTGAACCTTCCTCCACTGGAGTTCAAGCCGGCCCTGCTGATCGAGACGTTCAGCGTGAACGCGGTGGTGATGGAGAAGTCGACCAGCGCCCCGCAGGGTCCCACCGCAGTTCCACTCACCTTCCACGACCTCAACCGTCGTCACTACAACACCTTCCACTGCGACTTCACCACCGCCTGCCAGGCCATCAGCCAGCGTGTGGACATGGCCCTGGTGCGCCTCATCCACCAGTTCAGCACCATGATCGACGACATCAAGGCCACGCAGACCGACATCAAACTGAGCCGCTACACGGCCGGCTCCACCTCCCCGACACCCACCTTCAAGGCCCGGCCGTACCGCCACATCAGGTCCTCGGACTTCAGCCGCAGCTCCAGAGGAAGCTTGAATGGGGCGAATCGCAGCGGGACCCAAACACTGAAGAGCAAAAGGGGCGTGTCAGGAGGCGGGGTTTCAGGAGGAGGTGGTTTGCCTCCTAATGGCCCCCCGTTAAGCATGGACACGCTGGGAAGACGGGAGCCAAGAGGTCGAAGTTCGCTCGGACGTTCAGAACGACGCACCTCTAAGGTAACATTTTTATAGTTATAAGAAAATTATCAAATTGGAAGCCAGAAAAAAAAAACACATAAAACTGATTAAGTTCTCAGTTAAATGTTTATTTTCAGGTTCAAAGACTCCATCTCACTCCGAAGCCTGTCTCTGCTTCAGTCTTAAACAAAATGGTCCTAATTCACATGATCTCATAATATTTATCAAAACCCTGGTCACACCCCCTGTATGGAGAACCAAAACTGACAAAATTAGAAATAAAAGCAGAAATATATAAATAGCCTAAACTACCTAATTAAACTTTAAGCTAAACTAAGGCAGCAGTAGCATGCACAGTCAATCTGCATGGATCCTGTTCCTTCCAGTCTGTTGACCAATAGGAGAGGAGCTGACCCTAGCAGCCCCGCCCACCTTATTTGCATAATGAGGCAAAAATTCATAAGGTAAAGTAAAAACAGGAGACAGAGAAATGTAAAAGCRACATATGGAAATAAAAGAGTTGTGGAAAAAATATTTAAGAGACAGTGCAAGTACAAGTAAAAAAGGAAAACAAAAAAATTATATAATTTTTTTTAAACAATAAAATATGTTTAAAATATATAATTTATTGGACCTAAGCTGGAAAAATGAAWATGAAGGTCAATTAAATTATAAAACATGAGGTAAATTCTCCTTTTTTAATTTAAGTGAGGATTTTTTTTAGTGTTTTTATGTATTTATTGGGCCATTCATATATTTCTGCTTTTATTTCTATTTATGTCAGTTTTGTTCCTCTGTACCCCTATGGTATACTGGAAGTATTCTTACACTGTTGGAGAGAGGCACCCATTAAATAAAAACTTGTTGATTCTTTAACTGTTTAAAGTAAATGACTGCAATCTTAAAAATGTAAGTGTGCATCTAAAATTCTGTATTCTTCATTGTCACTAATAACCCAAAATATTTAACCGTTTTTAATGACACTTGAAGGGGCGTATTATTCAGTGAGGATATTCACATATTAAATATATTAAAGGGTGAATTTGTACTAAAAAATCATTAAGTTTGGATCTATTTATTTATTTGTATAGCTGTGACTTCAGCAAGTCTTAAACTGTTGTGGTTTTCCAGCAGCAGTTCAGTGGGAGAACTATTATAGCATTAGCAGCATAAATTAAATTTAATGAGTAAAAAGTGGCCTGTTTTTTCAAGTCTTTCAGAAGCTGATGTTTTCTCCTCAGCAACCCTAGAGGGAGCCAAGAGATCAGGATAAATTCTCAGAAACAGCWGAAACAATAACTTAAACACAATTTGATCATTTAAGAGACATTTAATACAGACTTTTATTTCTTTCTATAGTTTCTTCCTGTTTACTGAGATTACCCAAATATTCTGTGAGCTGGAGCTGTGGTTCAGCAAACGGCAGGAAGATCAGAGGAATAAGTCGGCCAGGCTGTTTGTTTACCCCTCAACCCTGTGATGCATATTTTGTTTTTTACTCRTGTTTGTTTCATGATGTGAATTCCTGCATCACGTGTTCAGGTGTCGAGGAAGGGCTCCCGTGACGTGGCCGACCACATGGCGATCCAGATGGACGACTCTGACTCCATCACAGTGTCGGAGCAGAGTGAACCGTCAGCAGAATGTTGGCAGAACATGTACAAGCTGCTCAACTTCTACTCCCTCATCTCCGATCCCACTGGCATCTTGGAGAAAGGCTCCCCGGAGAACTGCCTCTCAGGTGGAAATCAGCTTCCAGCACTTAGCCCCAACATTTCCACTCTGCTTTAGTTCTGACTTATATTTTATTCCTCTTCTCTAATCTCCATCTAAACCTATAGTTTTACCTTCTGCACTTTGATGYAACACCTAAAGTCCTCAAACTTTTCYAATCAGACTTAGRYAATACAAACAAAATCATTGTCATARTTTATTAACATCTCAATCAGGGAGGGGCAGCAGTTTTTTGGTGACACTACTGGAGGGACATAGTGCTGCACATTTCCCCAAATGTAATAAAGCTGCCATTTTATAAATGTTTGTGTAAATATATGTTTATTAAAGCAACATATACGTGCAATAACTTAACATATTTCATGCTTATATGCAGAACAGTTRCGTTCTTATTTAATAAATATAAATACAAAAAGTTCAAAGCAAATAAAAAACACTTTAGCGAGATGAAGTGCAACGGTACAAGACGACTTGTGTGCAGACTACTTTCTGGTTCTGGTGAAAAGTTTCAGTTGTTTATATTCTTGTTACTTCAGTAAACTACTCATATTTAGCTTTGTGCAACATGTTGTAGTGACTTATATTAAAATCCTTCATGGCAGACAGCATCTCTAAGCAGACTAAATGCAAAGGTTTGCCTTGAAATTCTGTAAACAGATAGTCTACCCCCCCCCCCCAAAAAAAAAGAAAAAAAAACAAAAACTTATTTATTTATTGTTTTGGAGGCGGGGCTTGTCTGGCCCGCAGGCTGCCAGTTGCCCGTTTGTAAAACTCAAACGGAGTTGAAAGCCAAGGAGGAAAAAAGTGTTTAGAAGCAGATTTGAAAACAGGAAGTGAGTCGGCCTGTCTGTAAGAAATGTGTGAACAGGATTTAGAAGCTGGTGTTTGTGGGTAACCCTGGTTTCCCTCCTGCCATGTTTGCCTGCAGAAGGTGGTCACCGTCCCTCCGAGCCGCTCTGTAAAGTGATCTTTGAGAACGAGCAGAGTGAACCCGCCACGCCCAACAAGCCGCTGGGAGCGGGCGGGAGGCGCCGCAGCCTGGTGAGCGCCGAGCCGCAGCACGTCACGCTCATCGTGTTCGGCATCGGCATGGTGAACCGCACACACCTGGAGGCCGACATCGGCGGGCTGACCATGGAGGCGGAGCTGAAGAAGATCCACGGGAGCTTCACTCTGAAGGAGAAGATGAAAGGTGAGAGCTCCACTCTGAAGGTTTTCCTTTTACTGATTTGTTCATTCGCTGCGTTCAACACGTGTTTTTGATGCATCGCTGCAGGGTGGACGTTTTACTAATTAATGTTTGTGATCTGCAGATATCCTTCATCAGAAAATGACAGAGACGTGTGCATCAGCTCACATCGGAGGGGTAAACATTGTTCTGCTGGAGGGCATAACTCCTGACATTCAGTACGTTAAAGTCTTCTTCAATTCTAGTGACTCTTTTCTAAATAGAAGTTAAAACTCCTGATTAATTAGTTTCTCTTTACTGTTGGTTTGCTGTCAGCTCAGCTGAGGTACAACTCCAGCATTTTAGTGCTATTAAAATATTAAAGTGCCTGTGACATGCATATTCTTCAAATACAAAAAGTCAAAGAAAGCATCTTTATATTTAAGAAAGTTGGAATAATACACACGATTTAACCCATTTTGTCCCATAACCGGCGAATTTCTTTTGAACTTTGCTCAGCCAAAGTGAAACAGGAAGTGACATCAAAGGGGRACGCTATAACAAAGAAAACTCTCTGGTCTTTGTTTATTGAAACAATATTATTTGAACTCTGACTCTTCTTCATCTCTGATAGAGACTCAAAATAATCTTAAGAAACATCAGGTTCTTCTCTACAGTCTGGGTTGTTTGCTGTTGAAACAACGCTCTGTTTACATGCTGATATTCCCCTTTGACATCACTTCCTGTTACTTCACAGGCAAATATCTCAACAACTGTTCATCTCAGCGACATGAAATTTGTTTTGCAATATTTTATGAATGTCCTCTTTCTAAAAACGCATTCATATGTATCACAAAAATTTGACGTCACAGGCACTTTAAGTTGGTCATAATCTAAATAAAACTAGATTTCCTGCTAGATTTGTAAATGTTTCACTTGTCTACACGTTTAAAGCTCATTTAATAAGTTTTATGTTCAAGATTCTTTTAAGTTTTACTCAAAGCCAGTGTAGTTATTTGATTTGTTTGCACTGCCACAAGGAGGGGTGATCATAAATCATAAGAAGACATTTTTCAGCATATCTAATGTTTCCTTTCTTTGGTTTTACTGATGTGAAGAATTGCTTAGAAACAAACAAGGTGTCTAACTGGTGGATAAATTGTTTTTGTTTTCTTCCTTTGTTCTGCTTCCCTTCCACTTAATTGCATAGACTGGAGGATTTTCCAACATCTCCAACCAGCACTGCTAAACAAGAGTTTCTGTATGTTGTTGTTGCCTTTTAAGGGCTTATTGAATCAAAAACACAACTGTCCTGTGTGCGTCCTTCATTCATTCCAATCACCACTCAAAGTTTCCCTGTTTGTTACAGAAAAGCTGATCTTTTTATTATTTATATGTGGATTGTTTTTAAGGGAGGAGGAGGCATCATTTCTCTCTTAAAAACACAAGAAAACAGCCAGACCTGTTTCAAGCTTTTATTAAACTTTCTGCATCTCGTGATTTTATGTCGTGCGACAAAAAGATCAATGTTTTTGAGGAGTTAGAGCAACCACAGAAATCCTTTATATTAAAATGTATTACTTTAGTAATAGCTTTTTATCTTAAAGTGCATGTGACATGCCTATCCTTCAAATACAAAAAGTCAAAGTAAGCATCTTTATTCTTAAGAAAATTGGCAGAGTTCACATGATTTTACCCATTTTGTCACATAACTGACTTATTATCCTTTAAATTTGGCAAAGCCAAAGTGAAACAGGAAGTGACCTCAAAGGGGAATTTATTAATAAAATAAACTCACCTTTAAAACATTATTCAAACTTTTAACTCTTCTTTGTCTCTCTTTGATAGTGACTAAAATAATCTAAAGAAACATCAGATTATTCTCTACAGTCTGTGTTGTTAGTTGTTGTAACAACGCTCTGTTTACATTCTGACATTCCTCTTTGACATCACTTCCTGTTTCTTCACATGCAAATATCTCAACAACCGTTCATCTCAGCGACGTGAAATTTGTTTTACAAAATGTTATCAATGTTATCTTTCCAAAAATGCATTCATGTTTATTACAAACATTTGATATCACAGGCACTTTAACGTATTTGGGAGTATGTCCGTTCTCGGTGTTATCAACCTGTTTAACCTTTCAGCTGCTGTTGTCTTTGAACAGCATCTGGTTTTATATCTAACCATTATCATACATGTCATGGTTATATTTTCTCATTCTAGTCTATTTCCCTGCAAAACTGAATTCATATTGAATCTGCATKAAAGTCCACAGTTCCTCAGTCATGTCACCTTCATTCACACGTCATCATCTCTGGACTAAGATCCTCGGTCTCGTTTGCTCACTCCGGTTCGCCCTGTGTTTCAGGACGGTTGTGAAATGCACCATCGCCAAGTCTCAGGCCCTCTACAGCGCCCAGAGGGGCCTGAAGACCAACAACGCTGCCGTCTTTAAAGTGGGCTCCATCATGATCAACATCCCCCAGCACCCGGCCACTCTGCACAGCATGATGGTGCGCAGCTCCCATCAGCTCTCCAAACAAATCTCCGACCTCATCCGCCAGCCCTCAAACGTGTAGGTTTCACTTTTTCATCCCACGAAGAGCTTTAATAAGTCTCACATCTAAGTGCCAAAGTTATGCATCGTGTTCACTTTGTCGCCTGCTTTCAAAGCCTTCACGCCGTCTGTTTCCATGGTAGCMTTCAGAATTATGGTAATGCATTTACAGAGCTATAGATGCGCTTCGGGTATTAAACAACTTGTCTGTCATTTATTATTCACTGAAATGCAAACAAGTTCCTGCAAAGTGCTGCATTATAACACATGAGCTCGATCTAAATGAGAACAGTGTTTTCTTATGTTTCTTGTTACAAAAACACAATTTTACTTCAGTTTCAAGACTGACGAGGCGTTTGATTCTACAACTCCAAAATTAAAACAGAACGAGATGGTTTATAGAGAGCTCACAAACCCATTGATTCACAGTGGAACA